GAGGTGCAGCCGAGGTGCGGCCGAGGTGCAGCCGAGGTGCAGCCGAGGTGCAGCCGAGGTGCGGCCGAGGTACAGCCGAGGTGCAGCCGAGGTGCAGCCGAGGTGCGGCCGAGGTGCAGCCGAGGTGCAGCCGAGGTGCGGCCGAGCTGCAGCCGAGGTGCAGCCGAGGTGCAGCCGAGGTGCAGCCGAGGTGCGGCCGAGGTGCGGCCGAAGTGCAGCCGAGGTGTAGCCGAGGTGCGGCCGAGGTGCGTGGCCGAGGTGCAGCCGAGGTGCGGCCGAGGTGTGGCCGAGCTGCAGCCGAGCTGCAGCCGAGGTGTGGCCGAGGTGCGGCCGAAGTGTGGCCGAGGTGCAGCCGAGGTGCAGCCGAGGTGCAGCCGAGGTGCAGCCGAGGTGCAGCCGAGGTGCAGCCGAGGTGCAGCCGAGGTGCAGCCGAGGTGCAGCCGAGGTGCAGCCGAGGTGCAGCCGAGGTGCAGCCGAGGTGCAGCTGAGGTGCAGCTGAGGTGTAGCCGAGGTCTAGCCCAGATGCGCTCGCCTCGCCATACAGCCCGCGGCCTCGCTCAATGACGACCTCGTGCTCGAGCGGCTCGTCGCCGTCGACGTGGTAGCCTGGGTCGCCCGCCCTCATCGTCGCCGTCGAGGTGATTCGGGCGGTGCCTAGTCGCAGGCTCCCCGGAAAAAGGTTCCGAGAAGGTTCCGGGCTGCCGTCGAGATGTGGCGGCGGCGGTGCCATCGAGCAGCAGGACGAGCGGCTGCTCCTTCCCTCGGTATGTGATCACCGTGGTGTCGACCTCGCACGTCTGCCAGCGGCCGGCGCTCAGCAGCTTCTTGAGCTGCCCGCGTGTCATATTCACCGCCGGATTCCCGGCAAAGTGGTTCTGGTACACCGCCTCCTCGGCGTTCTCCAGCCACACAAAGCGCTCGCGGGCGATGGTGAGCGCCGCCCAGCCGCTGAGAGCTGTGAACACGAGCAGCGACGGAGTGAATATCGCCGTCGCGAGCTCCACAGTGTCGCCTTTGAGCGCGAAGAAACGACTGCCCTTGGCTCCCGTCTGGGCGTGCACTAGTGCACGCCGAGCCCCGGTGGGCCAGCACTGCGAGAGAGGCGGGCGCGCCGCGTGCCTGGAGTGCGACCTGGCCGTCCGCAGCAGGAAACTCAACCTAGCTCGAAACGCCATCGGCCTGCGCCCGAACAAAATCGTGGCGGCGATTCCTATGCCGGCTCTCCGCCACAACCCCCGCCGGGAGGGAATCCCTGCTCACAGAAAAGGGCCCCGACCCCCTGTCTCGCGCACGCCCCTGGCGGGCGCCGCGGACCAGCTCCGCGAGCGCTCGTCAACGGGTGGTGTGCGGTTCTTGCCGTAGTTCCTCCTCGGTCGCCTAGCCCCGGCGCCGTCTGTCGGACGCCTGCGTGTCACGAGTGCGAGCCGCTCGCGGTTCGTACGCCCGCTTGCGGGTTCGAGTGGCGGGCCATCCCGCAAGCGCCAAGCGGGATGGCTTAGCGGGTTCGAGCCGTGCAGCCGTCACACATTGGCTGCCGGGGTATGCCGAGGGGGCTGGGTGGGCGGTAAGCCGTCATTGCCCGGCGCTGCTTGCAGCGCTCTGGGTGGTAGTGGCGGCGCTCCAAGAGTGGCACTCTTGTCTCTGGGGAAGAGGTTCTTCCTTTCCGCTCCCCGTCCCCCCCCCCCGCAAGGCGCGAGACACACAGAGACGCACGCCCACCCCACACCCCTACCACCACCGCATGTCGTGGCGGATTCTCCAGACTCCACCTCGGCAGAGATAGAGATTGCACCTCAGTGCTCAGAGCGACACTCAACGACGACGACAGGCTCCGGCTCAGGTCGCGGGGCATAGCTCGGGTGTAAACGGGGTCTGTGGCGGATGCCCCAGCGGCCCGCCGCAGGCGCCGCCGGAGGCCCCGGCCCGCCGCAGGCGCCGATTTTTTGGCATTTTTGCTCAAAATTGAGATATTTCTCATCAAATTCTCATCAAAATCGAGCTCGCTACGAGCTCTCTAACTGCAGGACAACATCTCCTCGTTGAGCCCAGCGGCGCCCGTATCGCCCACGCCCACATTCTTCTTCTTCTTCTTGCCCTTCTTGCCCTTGGCCCTTGCTGCACTTAGCCGCTCAACCTCCGCCAGCAGCGGCTCCTTGGCATGCCGCGCATTCTCCATCTGCTTTGCTTCCCACGCTGCCGCTTCCTCTAAAGCAGCGCCGCCACTAAGCGGCGCAACCAAGTTCTCGCACTGTTTGCATGAGCATGTGTCTTGCTTGGCGCGGCGCACAATCCGCGCGCGGCGAGTGAGGTGCGTGAGAGCAGAAGACTCGCAGGTCGGATGGGCGGTGACGCCGTCGAGCGACGGCGCAAAGGCCAATCGCTGCTGCTGCGCCAACGAGAGCGGCGACACGAGGCTGCTGGCAGCTGGCAGAGCGAATCGCGATTCCGGCGGCCGCCGTCAGCCCGCCGACACCGACGGCCGAGCTGAGGTCAAACTCCGCCACAGGTCGGACCAGCCCTTCTTGCCGCTCGGCTCTTCCTGTTTGTCGGCACAGAGCTCCGTGCCAGCCCTCCAGCGAGATAGGAACGAGTGTATCGCTTTGACGGATCGACCGTGCTTGTTATCAAAACCGATCTCACGTACACAGTTACACTCCAGACGTTCTGTACTCTCCTATCCGGCAACCGGCGAGACGCTGCCGTGAGCCAGCCGCTCTTGCGGCAGCCGCCAGCGGAGGCCGAGCGCGTCGCGTGAGTTGAAATCGATGTGGCGAGTCGACCGCCAGTCCGTACGATGGCACTGCGACCGCGGCGGCTGCTGGCGAGGGCAGCAGCGGCGCGCGCGAGGCGGCAGCGTAATCGGGTCCGAAGTCCGGACCCGATTTGGGGTCTACACGCCTTCTCCCCGAGTGGGAAAGTAGCGGCAAACCCCGCAAAGTGACCCGTTTTTACCCACCCACGCCCGTGCGCGCGTATCTTAGCTAGGTACGCGGCCACACGCGCTGGCGCGCACGGCAACCGGGACTTACACGCGCGACACGAGGGACTGTGTATCCGTGCCTGCCTCGGGGGAGAATAGCCGCCCTCACCCGCTGCCGCGCATCGAGCTCGGCGGGGCTGATACGTGTCATTCTGTGCCGGCGCGTATCTTAGCCAAGATACGCGGCCACACGTGCAGACGCGTATAGCGGTACTCGCGCCCACACGTGCAGCCGCCTATCTTGGCCAACACAGGCGGGCATGAGCGCGTGAAACGGCCCGTCGGCGAATGACACGCTTGTGGCGGGAGCTGGTGGGGGGCGCACTGAAGTCACTGGTCAAATCTCAAAAATCGTTGTGGTGACCTGAATGGTTGAAAGGACGTAGAAAGAAAGAACTCGAGACATGAAGGGGCCCTTCCGAGGCGCAGAAAATTCTTTTCTCGCGATGTCCACCCCGCCGCGCGCCGCCGCCGCGCCCTCGCCAGACACGCCGCCGCCCGCCCGCCTCCTCGACCTCCCCACGGACCTCCTCGTGCGCGTCGTCTCTCGCTGCGACCCCGTCGACATCGCTCGCGTCGCGGCCGTCTCGCTGCTATTCCACGCCTCGCTTGCGGTGGAGGGCATCCGCTTGTGGGCGCAAGAGCGCGGCTACGAGCTGCCGGCGCAGCCGGAGGGCGAGGGCTGCGCCGTGCGGTGGCTGTGCGTTTCGGCGCTGCTGCGCGAGTCCAACCCGCCGGCGAGGGCGGCGGCCGGCGAACAGCACAGCCTCTTCATCGTTGGCGAGGGGCGGCTCTCGTCGTGCGGCTGTGCTCACGTCCCAGGCCTGCTTGGCCACGGCGAGGGCGTGACGCGGCTCAACACGCCTACGCGCCTCCCTTCTTCGCTGGGTGAGCGCGCCGTAAGCGTGTCGGCTGGAGACGCGCACAACCTGGCCCTCACCACTGGCGGCGCCGTCTGGAGCTGGGGCGATGGAGCCTGCGGCCGGTTGGGCCACGGCGACGAGCAGAGCCAGCTGCTGCCGAAGAAGGTCGAGGCCTTGGTTGCCCAGCGCGTCATCGCCGTGTCGGCTGGAGTCATGCATAGCCTCGCCCTCACCGCCGACAGCGTTGCCTGGAGCTGGGGCAATGGAGCCTTTGGCCGGTTGGGCCACGGCGACCAGGAGGACCAGCTGCTGCCGAAGAAGATCGAGGCCTTCGCTGACCAGCGCGTCGTCGCTGCCTCGGCTGGAGGCATCCACAGCCTCGCCCTCACCGCCGACGGCGCCGTCTGGAGCTGGGGCGATGGAGACTACGGCAAGCTGGGCCACGGCGACGAGCAGCGCCAACTGCTGCCGAAGAAGGTCGAGGCCTTCGCTGGGCGGCGCGTCATCGCTGTGTCGGCTGGATATAGCCACAGCCTCGCCCTCACCGCCGACGGCGCCGTCTGGAGCTGGGGCTTTGGAATCTTTGGCAAGCTGGGCCACGGCGACGAGCAGAACCAACTGCTGCCGAAGAAGGTTGAGGCCTTTGCTGACCAGCGCGTCATCGCCGCGTCGGGTGGAGCGTACCACAGCCTCGCCATCACCGCCGAGGGCGACGTCTTTACGTGGGGCAAGGGCGAACACGGCTGCTTAGGCCACGGAGAGGACGAGTCGAACCAGCTGCTGCCCAAGAAGGTCGAGGTGTGGGCGCAGGGGAGCTGAAGAGTGCTTGAGTACGACGTTAACCTTCTCAGAATTCTTTTTTACAGCGGCCTGCTCCTGCTCTCCTTAAAATCCCTGTGTGGTGGCGGCGTGCCGTCATCCCACCCTTCTATTGGGCTGTCTGTTTTATTTTTTTGTGCAGGTGAGAGGTGTGAACAGCAGCTCACCTGACCACGGCGCCGTAAGCGCCTGTTGATAGAGTAGGTCCCCCTCAAAGCTCACAGGTCTTGTGAGGTCTTCCCGCGACACGAGCACACGACGCGCAGCGCAGGAGCCGGCTCCCGGCTCTCCGTTCTCCTTTTACGTTTGGGTGCGCCGGGCCCGGCCTGCACTAGGCTCTACGTCGGCGTCATCCGCCCGCTCGTTCTCACGCTCTCCGGCGCGCCCCCCGCCTCCCGCTCCTCGATGTGCCGCGCGGACACCGCCATGTCGAACGCGACCTCGAAGAGCGCGTTGTCGTTGGTGACGCGGCTCGGCAGCGCCTTGAACTCAACGACAACCAGTCAGCATCGTTTGAACATCAGAGAGCAGCTTGGGCCGAAGAGTCGGTTTTAAGTAATTGGGCCGAATTAAGTAATTAACTGAGTAATTCATTAACTAAGGGCCCAAGGTCAGTCGACCAGAGCCTCGCCGTGCAACGCGCTCTCTCCGGCCATCTCGGGCCATCTCGGGCCATCTCGGGCCATCTCGCCTTGAGCGCGTCGATCAGAGCCTCGCCGTGCAAGGCGCATGATCGCAGGCGCCTCCACGCGCAGCACGGCAAGCGCGAGCGCGAAGACGATGCCCAGATGGCCGTCGAGCAAGAGGTTGTCCATGATGCGCAGGGCCTACACGAAGGTTCCAGGAAAGGTCTAGGAAAGGTCTAGGAAAGGTCTAGGCTGTCCATGATGCGCGGGGCCAGGTCGCTCGGCGCCGGGTGCGCGCCGCCGACACACATCGTCTGGAACCACTGCGTGTCACGAGTGCGAGCCGCTCGCGGTTCGTACGCCCGCTTGCGGGTTCGAGTGGCGGGCCATCCCGCAAGCGCCAAGCGGGATGGCTTAGCGGGTTCGAGCCGTGCAGCCGTCACACATTGGCTGCCGGGGTATGCCGAGGGGGCTGGGTGGGCGGTAAGCCGTCATTGCCCGGCGCTGCTTGCAGCGCTCTGGGTGGTAGTGGCGGCGCTCCAAGAGTGGCACAAGACACTTAAGGTGGCAGTCCGGGTTTTGCGAGACGGGTGTCGTCTCGCAAGATGGCATCACGCTCGCACCTGCCGACCGCCGCCACGGCGGCGAGACGCCTTATCCGCCACCGCGGCGCCGGCCACAGGCCAGCGCTAGGCAGCTGCCGGCCACACTGGGCCGGATTTGCCGGTAACCGTCGCCGCACACTCCTACGTCCACGCCGCTGTGACGTCTGGCGACGAGGCGCCGGCCGCCAAGCTTCATCGCCAACGTGGTCGCTCGCTGGTCCTCTCGGCTCGGCCACGCGTCGGCCCAGCTCACACGAGCTCCAGACAGCCACCAGTCGCCACGCGCAAAGCGTACGGGTCGCCGGCTCCCTGTTGTGCTCTCACGCTGGCCGGCGTAAAACTGTACTGGCAGTTGTCATGCCGTACCCGTCGCGTTTCGAAAGGGAGCCCTCAATCGACGCGTCTACACGCACCGTGCCACCGCTCTCCACAACTGCTACCGTGGACATCAAGCTCCTCGACTCGATCTGCGGCTACGACGGCGCTCTAGCTGCTGGCTCTCGCGGGTGTCTGGCGACCCGCTCAGGCTTGCGAAACGGCCGGCCGCGGCGACGTGTTTCGAGCTCGCTGGCCTTCTCCGCGCGGCTGGGCCCGCCCCTAGTCGGGGCCGACCCGCCCAGTCACTGGGCAGCGCGTGCGCCGGCGTTCTGGACGACGGTGTGCCGGTGCATCCGGGAGGCTCCGCGGGGCTGCTCTAGCAGCCTCGGGAGGGTCGAAAATCGAAGCCGAAGCGGCGGACCACGGAAGCTCCACGGACGGTGAGGCGGGCTGTGGTTGGCCCCCCCTGACCGGGTGAGGGAGTGGCGCCCCGGGAGTGCCGCTCCGGCGACGTCTGTGGCCTCCACGGTACCGTGACCGCGCCGGCCTCGCTCGGGAGGCTCTTTCGGAGCCGTCGGCCTCCGAAACCGTCGCGTTGCTGCGCCTGGACGGCTTCGATGCTCGCCAAACCCGTCGGCACCGTTCATATACACATGAATTGTGAGTGAACGCGCATTTTTCTGGTATTTAACTGAAATGTGCCGAAATGTTAGTTTCGATCTAGTCCTCACGGACACAAAACAGAGGCCTCCTAGCACGGAGAAGCGACTAAGAGTCGCCGACGTGCGAGTTAAATGCCAGAAAAATGCGCCCGGAATCACAATTGATCCCGTCGACAAGGCGCCCCAATCGCGGAGGTCTGGCGCGGGCGTGGAGGCGAGCATCGACGCCTCGACGGTTGCTCTTCAGAGGCCGAAAACAGGCGCCTGAAAAAGGAGAGAACGCGAGACTGATCACGCGCGCGGAAAAGCCCGAGGGGCGAATCTAAAGTGCCGAGGCGCTTGCTAATCACCCCAGCTAGGGCCACGGAGGCGCTCGCGGCAGGTCTCCGCGCGCGCGCTGGCCGGTGGCAGCTGATCTCGGGCGGCGGGCGGCGGGAATGGGCTCGGGCGGCACCTTTTGCCCTCAAAAGTCGTTCGAGAGTACCGGGTCGCGGCGGGAACGCGCCCATCCGCTCGATGGGTGTCAGGAGTCGATCGCCTGCGCCAGGAGCGAGCACGGGAGTCGTCGCGATGGGAGTCGTAGCGGCGTGGCGCTCGGCTTCGAGAGAGCGACGTGGGCGCGGCGGCGCGGGCGGCCGGTGGGGCGCGTGAGGTCCGCACCTTCGCGACGGGCAGGCTCGATACGGCCGCTGGCCGGGGCGGCCGCTCGACCGGCCGCCGCGGTCGTTCCGGCGGCGGCGTCGGCGTCGGCGTCGCGAGCGAACTGGCTCGCATTCGACGAGCGACCCTCTTCACAGAACCCGGACTGCCACCTTTTAACAACGAAGGCGCTCGACGGCGGTCTCCGCCGGCCCCAAGGCTGCCCAGCCCCAGTAGCACACCGGCCACGTGCACCGTAGCGCTGGAGTTGGTCAGTGAGGCCCTAGACGGGCTACGGAACCATGCGCACGCCGGCCGGACAGGCTGCGTGCAGAGGCCGCGCCGCCTCGATTTCGCACCTCCGCTCCGCGGCCGACTGAGGGGCCAGCTCGCCCGGCGACAAGCCCAGCCATCGCCCAGCGCCCCGTATCGACGGGGGGCACGCAAAAAAAACGCACCTACGACTAGGCTCTAGGGTGAGCGCGTGAGGGCGTCGGTGTCGGCCACGGGCGGGCTGCGAGGCGGGCGCGGGTGGGAGCATGGGAGAAGCACCACCGCTCGACAAAGACGCGCCCGACGAAGCCCTGCTAGCGGAGGATGGTCGATCCTCACCTACTAGCGTCGGGCGTGTGCGAAAAAGAGCGCAAATCGGAGCTCAACTCGCGCGCGGCTGGGAAAGGGGTGTGGCACCCCTCCGAAGGCGCCTCGCGAGGAGCTGCTGCTGCCTCCAAACGCGCTCGGGCAGCACGTCGGCGCGCCTGCGGGGTTGGGGAGGTGAAACTATGCTTGCTGGCACGCGCATCCCGCACCACCCCCACGTCCGCGCGCACCATGCCGCCATCCCACCTCACAGCCAAGCGCCATCGCCGTCGGACGCGGCGACGCCGAGCGGTGGCCTCGCAGACGACGAGCGCGATGAGGCCGCCGCGCCGCCGGAGTGGCCGGCGCGTGCCAGCCGCTGGCCCGTCCAGCGTTTGCGGGACCGGGCTCTCCAATCCGCATCGGAAGCAGCTCTTTTGTTATCACTTATCGAGACTCTCCTCCGATTCGGATTTGTGAAATAAAAATGAGAGGCCGGGAAAGGAAGAAAACACACACACACACTTGCCGGTCGACGGCCGCGCGCGTCAGACCAGACGCGATAGCGACCTCAGGTCCTTGCACGCCGGAGTGTGAGTACCACCCTCTCGGCACCCTTCGCCAACAAAACGCTTGGCTTCGCAAAGACACAGCTCCTCCATGGTTTCTACCTTCACGGTGCTCGCCGGCCCAAACCACGCTTGCTCCCGGCCCCTCACTCGCTCGGACGCACCCTGACGCCCACCCGACTCGACGCGCCCCGAAGACGAGACCTCTCTCCGCGCGCCCGGCCCTCCTCGCCTGCGGTGCACAGCGACGGTCCCAGACGCCAACATATCGAGCCGCCCGGGCCTCCGATTCGCGCAACCGCTCTCCCCGCCGGGCACAGCCCCTCACGGCACCCACACGCCCTAGCTCAGCACGCGCTACCACCCGCTCACCGCCCGGCCGGCCCTCCTCGCCTGCGGCTTTGGCCTCCTCTGCGCGCTTCTGCCAACCCACTCCCTGACCGTGCGCGCGCAGGGCATCGACGAGTGGAAGTCCCCCTCCCCGCTCCGCAAGAGCGAGTCCAACCTGGTCGACCGCTCCAAGACCACCAAGAACCTCACCCCGATCGGCCGCGTCGACCCCAACGGGTTCGCGGAGCTGCTCGGAACGGACGTCGACGAGGAAGACGAAGACGTCGCTGGCGAACCCGTTGGTGGCAAGGCGGCGTCCAAGGCGACCCGCGGATCCACGCCGTCGGCCACAAACTCGGTGCTAGCCGCCTGCACGTGCAGTTTCCGCCCCCTGCTCGCCGCTCACAGCCAGTCTCGCGCCCCTGTTCAGGGCGCGACGGTCAAGCCCAAGACCCCCAAGACGGTCAACAAGACGGTCGACCCCAAGACGACCACGACGGCCACGCCGAAGGGCTCCGTCTCCGCCTCCGGCTGGCTCTCGTGGCCCAAGCTCTGCTGGCCGAAGGTGCTCTGCATCATCTGCACCTGCCTCATCGCCGCGAGCGGCGGCGCCTTCGCCTACTTCTCGCACGGCTCCGACGCGCTTCTCCCTTCGGTCGTCGCGCCCGTTTCGGCTGCGCCCGGGTTCGAACGTCACGCCGGCTTCTGCGACGTAAACGGCGGCAACTGCCAGGAGGAGTACAGGGGTTTCGGCGAGAGCGCCGAGATGTGTGAGCTGCGCTGCCTGGAGTTTCCGGCTGGCGCCAGGGCCTGCACCGCCGTCGAGTACTGGCACCTCACGAAGCGTTTGCCGATGTGCAAGGTGTTCACATGCGAGGGCGACATCACGCGCGCGTTGAAGGCGCCGGCGAACAACGTCGAGTGCCTCGTCAAGACCGAGAGTTCGAACGTGGCATTGCGCTCGAGCTTTGGTGGTGCCGGCGGCGGCGCCTCGCCCTTCCCGCCGCCGCCACCCCCTCCGCCGGAGCGGCCTGCGCCGTTAGACCTGGCGGTGTTGAGGAGGCAGTCGACGTTGTTGGCGGGCGCCTTCAACGCGCGGGTGATGTCGTCGCCGCATGTGAACACGTTGCTGATCGGCAGACGCGTCGTGAGGTGGCAGTAGTCGGCGGCGGTGCAGGCGCTGGGGGATCATCTAGAGTCGAGCTGCCGGAATGCCAGCTTGGTGCTGGACGTCGTT